TCCTGTAAGCTTTAATCGGACCTTCAGATGCTCTGAGGGCACGAGGCTGGAGGATCACAGATGACCTCGGTTCAGATCAAAACGTGGGCTCTTCTTTTTTTTGGACTTTCAGAAACAAGTTTGATGTTTCCTCAGCAGCAGGAAGTGACTGCAAGTAAAACTGGAACCAGATCATCAGAGACCAGTTTGCTGATCTGGAGCCTACAGGTGTGTTATTAACACAAAGTCAAGATGGAAAAACATCAGCAATGACCTCAGAGAAGCAGCTGCTGCTGTCCGTCAACCTGTGAAGGGTCAACGGTGAGAGAAAGATGCAGATTCACCCTGAAGGTCAGACCACGCAGTGACTCTACAGGCCTCAGTCAGCAGCTCAAAGGTCAAAGGTCATGACCTCTTCTCTCTAAAAACAACAAGTCCAAACTGGGTCCAACAGAACCATGATCCCAAACACTGCCGCTGATCTACAACAGAACGGGTCAGATAGAACAGAACCAATGGTCCAGTCAGAGTCCAGAACCTGAAGCTGACTGAGAGCAGAACCCTCAATACTCTGAAGCAATGATGTAAAGAACAGTGGGCCAAAAATCGTCCACAACCTTGAGGGACACCTACAGAGAACAACTGCGGGTTCTGGTTCTGGAGGAGAAATGTGGTGCTGAATTAATGTTCGATCATGTTGAAATCCAAACCTGGACTCAAAGAGTCTTTGTCTCGGTTCTGTTGAGTCTCATCGGGTCAGAACAAAGAAGCAGGAAGTGAACGATCCCTTTGTCCTGCAGACGTCAGAGGAACTCCACCCGAGCCGAACTCGCACCATCAGCCCCACTTCGGCTGCTTGAATGAAAAGCTCAGACAGCACCACACCCACGGCCCTGACAGGTGCAAACAGGGCGGGGCTAAAGGTGAGTCAGCAGGCGTGCGTTCACTAAAGCCAAACTTTACTGTCAACAAGGCTTCAGGTCCTGGCTAACCCTCAAACCACAAAGATCGAAGCAACAACAAAAGACTTCTGTCAGAACGCTGAACCACCGTCACGCTGCTGCTCTCATGGTTTAAAAACGTTTTGAACACCCAAATACCTCGGCACACCTTCAGCTATGTTAGCTAAAACATTCAGCTGGTTCAGCAGACAGCTGCAGGGACGTTTTGTCACTTTATACTTTTCTAAATATGGATTTTATTTACAAATACTTCCCACAGAAACACACAGCCCTCTCCAAATCACTCAAACCTTACTGCGTACTTCCACTAGTACCACTACTGTTACTGCACATGCTAAATGTATTACTGCTAACACTGCTAATGCTAATGCTATTTACGCTCAATATACCAACGCTAATACGGCTACTACTTCTGCTACTACTGGTCAAGTTAACTTTACTAATGCTAATTTTACTAGTACTACTAAAGTAAATATACGTATTCTAATACTACTATACTACTTCCAATGCTAACGCTACTAATGCTGAAGCTTTTAGCTAAAGTTTTGCTACTCATGCTAGCATTTTGCTTCTTGTAGCTTTCAGCGCAGTTTTAGATGCTTCAGCTATTTTTCATCCATTTGTTTCTTTCGGCTGTCTGTAGGCGTTCGGCCGTCGGCGTTCGGCCGTCGGCGTTCGGCCGTCGGCGTTCGGCCGTCGGCGTTCGGCCGTCGGCCTTGGGCTGTTGGCGTTCGGCCGTCGGCGTTCGGCCGTCGGCGTTCGGCCGTCGGCGTTCGGCTGTTGGTGTTCGGCCGTCGGCGTTGGGCTGTTGGCGTTCGGCCGTCGGCGTTCGGCCGTCGGCGTTGGGCTGTTGGCGTTTGGCCGTCGGCGTTCGGCTGTCGGCGTTCGGCTGTTGGTGTTCGGCCGTCGGTGTTCGGCTGTTGGTGTTCGGCCGTCGGCATTCGGCTGTTGGAGTTCGGCCGTCGGCGTTTGGCCGTCGGCGTTCGGCCGTCGGCGTTCGGCCGTCGGTGTTCGGCTGTTGGTGTTCGGCCGTCGGTGTTCGGCTGTTGGCATTCGGCTGTTGGTGTTCGGCCGTCGGTGTTCGGCTGTTGGTGTTCGGCTGTTGGTGTTCGGCCGTCGGCGTTCGGCTGTTGGCGTTCGGCCGTCGGCGTTCGGCTGTTGATGTTCGGCCGTCGGCGTTTGGCCGTCGGCTGTTGGTGTTCGGCCGTCGGCGTTCGGCCGTCGGTGTTCGGCTGTTGGCATTCGGCTGTTGGTGTTCGGCCGTCGGTGTTCGGCTGTCGGTGTTCGGCCGTCAGCGTTCGGCTGTTGGCGTTCGGCCGTCGGCGTTCGGCTGTTGATGTTCGGCCGTCGGCGTTTGGCCGTCGGCTGTTGGTGTTCGGCCATCGGCCGTCGGCGTTCGGCCGTCGGCTGTTGATGTTCGGCCGTCGGCTGTTGATGTTCGGCCGTCGGCGTTCGGCCGTCAAACCTGGGAAACTTTAATAAAACGTTACAGAATCATAAAAGATCGTAAACGCTGCGGTTTATTCACCAATAAAAGACGTTTCCTGAGGACAAGTGTCCTGGAGGACGAGCCGCTCCGGGTTAATGATGCACCTTCAGCACCGTCCTGCACTCAGAACCTGGTTGGACCGACCCTGACCCGCTTTCTGATCCAGCTGACGGTTCAGAAAGTGCCCGTGACTCAGTTTAAAGATTGACCAGAACCGTCCTCCACGAGGCGAAGTCCAACTCCAATAAAGGTGAGTCACACGCAGCCGAAGGCTCCGGAACACAAAGACTTCTGTCGGGGCCACGGGGGGAACCAGGAGACTCGGTTCTGGTTCTGTTCACAGCCAGCCAGCTGCTGATTCTCATCCTTCAGGAAAAGACATCCAACATCCAACCACAAGCCAAATATCATCCAACTGTCATCCAACCATCATGTTTTAAGCTACAATTCTGCTTCAGTTAACATTCAGCACTAAAGAGAAGAGACACAAACCGGACCTGAAGAGACACAAACCGGGCCTGAAGA